AGATGGCACCGAATGATAAAAGACGGTGCCTGGCACACAGCTGTGTGTCCAGTGCTCTGACAGTTTTATTGTTAATTCAAAAAATTTAGCTTGTGATTTTTGTGGAAAGTTGTTCCATACTTACTGTGCAGGAGTTGATGATAAAGTGGTAAAGAATATACGTGACTGTACTTGGTTAAAATGGTTTTGCCAGGTCTGTTTACCTGCCATTGATGGAAAGTTATAGATAACTGATCCGCGGATGTTAAGGCCAGTGAAATTTTGGAAAGAACTGTTAAGCTAATAAAACTACTGGAGTCGTCTAATACTATTTCTGCTGGAAAAATATCATTTGCTGAAGTATTGAAATCTAAACCGCCACTTATTATCAAACCAAAGAATGTCAATCAGAATAGTTCGACCACAACAATTGCATTAGCACAAACAATTTCACTTGCTGATATCAACGTATCAGTTACCGGTGTAAAGCAGGGCTCACATAGACAGGTAGTGATTCATTGCCAAGACGAGAAGTCCTTAGAAAATTTGAGGTCAACTGCTGTGAAAGAATTAGGTGACGAGTATGAAGTTAAAGTGGTCAATATGATAAATCCAAAAATCCTAATACTTAATGTTAGGGAGGGATGAGGTCATTGATGTTTCTCAATTTTTAAGTACCTATGCTTCGGAAGGAAAACATTCCTGAGGATACTATTGGTGATGTGAAGGTGGTTCATAAGTACAGAGCCCCAAAAAGCAAAGAAAATACTGTTAACGTTATATTGGAATTATCTCCAGTAGAGTTTAGCCAACTGGCCATGAAGAAAGACAGATTATACATTGGGTTCAACGGATAAAAATTTTTCGAATTTATTACTGTCAATCGTTGTTTCAAGTGTTGGAAATACGGACATTTTGCTGGTAAATGTCAATCCCAGCAAATATGCCGTCTTTGCAGCGGCCACCATAAAAAGGATCAGTGTAGTAACTGAGGCAATAATTATATTTGTTCTAATTGTATATATGCTTCTGAGGTTTGGAAGATACCAAACATTATGTATGATCTCCATGTCTTTGACCCTAACTGCCAAGTTATCTGTAACAATTAATTCACAACAAGGAGGAGATTAACTATAGCAAATAACAATCAAGTAATCAATATAAGACGAGGGCAGCCGTATCTGTCTACTACAATGACGTCTTACCCATATAGACCCAGCAAGACATTGATAAGTCCGCCGTTTGTTATGTTCGCGAACTCAGTGGCGGGAAATACGAACTTTCATTCATAATTTTATAAAATTGGCCCCATCATAGGCGTATCACAATGTAGGCCATGAAGGGCTATAAAAACCAATAAATATCTCAGTATATTGGAGGTACAAAAAACGTATTTCTTAAGGTGACCATACACTTTTGGACTCTGGCCTACTGTTCCTGACAAAAGCCTGGCGACCTAAAAATGTCCCTCTTTTCGGTCGTGGTGTCTGCATCAAGAAGCATGCAAACCCCCTCCCCTCCCCCGCTCTTCATACTTATAATCATCGGCCATCAATGCAAAAAATGAAGTGTGTTTACACATTGTGCTGTCATTTTATGATTTTAAACAAAAATAGCAAAATAAGTGCATTTTGTGGTAGGCCCCAATATAGAAGTAATGAAACATAGTAAATATCTACTCAAAAAAATGTTTATTTGATGGTTTACAAAATATTTTATATGGAGATCTGTCAATGCAAAATAAAATTTTCTTGACATTCTTAATAAGAAATGTGTCAACAAAAAATATACCTAACAATTGTAAATTTGGGGTATCACACCAGCACAAGTTATGTTAACAATAAGCAGTTGGCAATGAACATTGCACGGATTTGAAAATGTGCAAAATATGAAAATGTTTAAGCTGATAGCAATTATATATATATATATATATATATATATCACCGATGATATATAGTATAGACACTGCCATTCATTCATGATTACGCATTTGTTTATTTTCCAACATTGCTTTGCTTGGTGGTCAGGGGGCAGAGACGACTGGTGGGGAAAACAAAATGGCCGCCAGCTAGGGAAAGGATTACGTTACAACCAGTGGCGTATCATGATGATAATATTTCCGCATTCACAATGAAATAATGAATTAATCAATCTGTAGAACACGAGTCAGCCACATTTTTTTTTAATTGATAAAGTTAGGTGAAAAGTTCTATTTCTAAATCGGAGACCTAAAAAAATGTAGGATGGTGTAAAAATCCATAATGGATAAACATTATGATATACCAGAAAATCAAGTTTCTTATTTCAAAAAATACAAGTCGCTTAGTGTTATTTCAATTTATTGATTTCAAGGTGGAACAGGATTGATATCTATCAATTTGTCTTTTCGTTTTTTAGATAGTTACATAAATGTTGAGTGTGCTACAAGAAAATACAGTTCTTTTGAAAATGGTCCTCCCACTTATTTTTTGAACTGGTTAAGTTAGCAGGTTGAAATTCGGGTTGTTAAAATTGATGTAAAAATGGTGGATGAAAACTTCCAAGATAGCACCTAGACGCCATTTTGGGAAATTTTTCTGAATGGCATTGGACGTCATTTTGAAGATCTATACAAGTACTTTATAACCCTAGAATATGAAATCAATCTCTCAAAGTGGCGTACTAGCAGCTGGTCATTTCTACACTGAATCGCTTAATCTGCAATTTAAAACAATGAATCTCTCATTTTATTGCACATTTGGATACCTCTTATAAAAGTGGTATTAAGATAAACACTATAAGCTGTTGATGAGTAGATGTTGGGTTAAAGGCGGCTCAACGTTCAAATGCCTATAATTTGACAGGCTGTGGGTTATCCATTTTAAAAGGTGATACTTTCATATTCTAGAAGGTTATAAAGCATTCATAACGAGCAACAAAATGACATATTGCATTACCCACATTCCACTTTTAAAAAATGTTCCATGATAGCGCGAAGACCCTTCTTGAAATTTTGAACAGCTATTTTTTTATTATTCCACCTATCCGAATTTTAACTTACTAGCTTGACCTGTTCAAAAAATAAGTAAGGGGAGAGGTACCTATTAGAAAGAGAAAGAAGAACACAACAAGTCATTGTTTAATTTCATGTTTTATTTATTATTTTTGATTATGGTGTATTCTTAATTTGAAATAATGGTGGAGTATTAGTTTTATTAATTGAACTGCATGCCCCTCTACAGGATCATCATCAAACAAATGGTGCTCAAAATGGCTTAGAATTTCTGGTGGTAAAGTTTTGATCGTATTGATTTTCAATGTTTCTAATAAATTGTGAATATTTTTATTGAAAATATTTGTGGTTTTGTGGAAGAATCTAAAATATTTTTCGGCAGCGATACATAGTTGAATTACGAATCGAGAGGCTTTTACAAGTTTACCATATTGTTTAACTCTCTGTAACGTAGAAATGACTTCGGAACTTTCTAATGCACTGCTGCATTTTTTGCAAGTGACACATTTTTTCATTGTTTTTACCACAAAACCAGAAATATATCCTACAACATTTTCACTATAGTCAGTCAAGTCCCAAGCAGATGAAGATGATATGTATGTCGATATATTATTTTTGACCTCTTGTTCAAAGTCTAAATACTGTTTGCCGTCTGTCAAATCATCTCCACTATCTGTAGCAGTAATTTCTCGCCCACTACCACACGACAGAATTGTTACACTATTCCCATCTGAAATATTTCCTGAACTTAGACCTGTTATTTCAGTATGGACGAGTAATCTTTTGTAGGCTGCTTCAAAGTGCCTTGCACTTGGGTTATTATTATATCCCCCTTTCCCTCTTATTGCACCGAAAAAAAGTTCCAAGTAGTCTTGTGATAATTTATTCGTCAATATGAATTTTAATTTGTTTTCTAAAATATATGCATTATATAGACCCTTCAAACTGGTAATACAAATAAGAAAGCCTAAAAAGCCAGTCTTTCTAGGCGACTGAATGACTGGAATGCTTCCTAACTTTAAATTTTTTATGTAACTGCTTAATTCATCAAAAAAACTAAAAAATTGTTCAGCCGTTGCTGGTGATAGTGGTCTTTTAAATTGATATTTGGCCAATTTATTTCTGGAATTGAATATATCAAATACATCGTTGAATTTTTTGATGAAAATAGCTATGGCCTCTGCATTTTGAAAAGCAGCAAGCTTAAGATCCTTACATAAATATGATAGAGCGTCTGCTACACTTTTACTCAGCGTTTGGGTAGCTATTTTCACTTTCATTTTTTCTCTAACAAACTGCAGATGGCGAACAGTAATTTTAGTGCCTAAGTGCAAGCCTTCACTATATTGTGTATCTACCAGTTTGCTTAAAAAATTCCAGTCTATTTGATTTCCATCTTGATCAATTAAATATTTTTGAGACCCAAACGTGTTTCGCACTAATTTGATCATGTGACATGGGTCTAGAATTATAAATACATCGCTACCAGTCACAGGATGGGTGAAGCAGGTTTTCATAATACTGACATCAAAATTAGCTCCTAGATGAGAAGCCATAGTAAAATTAACTGGCGTAAAATCAAATGTTAGTGACGTCACTATAACACCAGATTCGTGAATAAAAGACAGACATTTTTTGACAATCTCAGCATTTTCTTTTCCACTAAAACCATCTAAAAAGAAATAGCCTACTGGTATTTTCCATGAGCCGTTCAAACAAACAAGCATGAATACCAAAGCTTCTTTTGCTTCAGGTAAAATGTCCGAGTCGATCTTTGAGCCAATATCTATATACCCAGAGAATTTACTGCCTGTCCATTCCACTTGGCGACGGATGGACATCTCATCTAAGACCAAATTGCAGTAGACTGCCTTACCTTGTGACAAAGCGTATTCATGTTTTATTTTCAAAGCCTGTAGTGCTTCTTGGGTGAAGCCTGGGGAACCATCAACCGATCTATACCATTTACTGATAGTGCTTAGATGAGGCAGTGATTTATTGAACGTGTTCCTGACAAAATTATAAGCTCTAGGCTAATAAAAAGATAAAGTTAATGCAAAAGTCCTTATTGAAGGGTCATACTTCTGTGATGATGGCCCTCGTAACATTCTCTCAAAAATTTTAAGAGATGAGCCGGATAACGATGCCTGAAACAGACTTACTTTAGATATCGAATATGTGGGTAGCATAGTTAAAATTATTACCCTCAAAACATTTTCAGATGAGTCACTTATGTAAGACTTTTTCTTTAAAACACTAATAAGGCTATTTAGTGTCCTTACTCTCTTCCCGAGTGAGTTAACTGTGACTCGAAGTCCATGAATTCTTTTTCTCTGGGCTTGTATTACATTTTTCATTATGCAAAAGTTTCTTTTTGCTCTTACAGGTGAGGAGAAATCATCACTCGACATATCACCAACATAACGGCTCTTCCTAAAAGAATAAAATAATATGATATCGATAACAATTTTAATTTCAGATAAAATTCAGTTCAACATGACATCAAAGAGGAGGCGATACACATTTAAAATCTGATTTTTTATTCTGGCTTTCCTTTTGTCCATTGTCCGCTGATCGACTCTTATGATATAAAAAGGTCGGTTAAAAAGCAATCCATTAACAATGTTATTACTACTACAAGGCTACTACAACCAAGTGCAACGTTGCCATATATAAACGTTAATCACAAATATGCAGAAAATACTCTGGTTTGTATTATACTTTATTTGGCGACATCGCAAAAAAGAGTGATTGTTGTAGGGGAAGAACTTTTGTAAACATTCCAGGTCTATTTGGGTAAGACGTCATTGGTCTACTACCATAATGTGGGAGGATTGAGAATGAAACTTAAGGTTCTGCAAGAAGCAGTTCAGTGCATCAACTTCGGTATTATACGAGTAATTTCGGTGAAAACTTGACTTAACAGTGATTTATCGGATGAAGAACTAGGTCTTTCCAACTATAACATATTCAGGACCGACAGGAGTACTACAAATTGTGGAAGTGCGCATGGTGGTGGTGTATTAGTTGCAGTAAAAGGCGCGTTCTGTATTAGTTCCAAATATCAATGTTGAGCAGGTATGAAATATCAATGTTGAGCAGGTATTTGTTGGAATTGACATTAGTTATGAATTTGTTGTTGTTGGAGCGGTGTACATACCACCAGCTTCCGATAATCAGCTTTATATTATCATGCTACATCCATTGAGTCTATTTTTGGTAGATTTGTTGATTGCAATCTTTTCGTTTGCAGAGTCTATAAATTTACCCAATGCTGTTTCGGAGAATGATGAATTCGGGCTGACCGTAACTTGCAGCCCGAACTCACCTTCTGTGGAATTATTTAATATTTTGGGTTTTTTTAATTTGTTCCAAATTAATAACATACCTAATTCAAGAAATGTATTGATAGATCTTATATTATCCATCCATAAAGTATAATGTTTACTCGCATGTAGATTATGTTTGAAGACAGTCTTCATCACTCTGCAGCATGTTTTGATCTAATTACACATAACGAATGTGAATAATATTATCTCGATTTCTGTAATGGCGATTATGAGCAAATGAATTATTATTTATCTTATGCTGTGCAAGCATTTTATGATTATCTCTATAAAGGCATTGAAATGTTTATTCCGATACATGAATTCTTCATATTCATCTTAGTTTTCGTCGAACTTGAGAAAACTACTCAATGAAAAAAAGATTGCACATAAGAAATATAAGGAGACTATTTTTTCTGACTTACAAGCTCATTGCAATCTTCCGCGAAACATTTCTTACCAGAGGTACATTTTGAAGAATAACTTATGTGTTAATCCTCGTTCGTTTTATAAATTTATTAATAACAAAAGATGCTCCGCTGGAATTTCATACAATATTTCTTATGGAGATAGGTCTGGTAATGATGTTTCAACTGCTTTCCAACTTTTTGCAGACTCCTTTTATACTGTTTATCACAACATACATGTAAACCAAATGCCTTAGCATAATTTCAAATCTAAAATTGGCATGAATGTTCCATACATTGATATTAAAAATTAAATAAATGAAGTTATGAGTCTTTCTTGGAATTTATCGGTTGGCCCCGATAATATTTCCCTATATTTCTTAAAAAAATGCATATTTACGTTGACAAAACCATTGTGCTTTATGTTGAATAAATCAGTGCAATCGGGAAAATTTCCAAATTACTGGAACCAAAACTTTTGAACGCCCATTTCAAGCCAGGGAATAAATATGTTGTTGAAAACTATCAGTCATCTATCCCGAAATTGATGGATTGCTTGATTAACTGATCTTTTCAAAATGAATTTAAAAGCATTATTGTCGATCAGCAGCATGGTTTTCGTCAGGGTAAATCAAGTTGTACCAACTTGATGTTATATAGTAAAAATTTGTGCAATTCAATTGAGCAAGATCAGCAGGTAAACTCTGTTTATTTGGATTTTTCTAAATCATTCGTTAAGGTTAACCATTCGATATTGTTGTCCAAGCTTTACGACTATGGTCTGCAGGGCCAGCTCTTGAATTGGATGCTTATCAGTGATGGGCGCATTATATACACCATTGTATACGCGTATACAATGGTGAATATATACGTCTTCGTTTACGAGGAAGAGAGAGAGGGGGACAAGCGGGCACCACTTGTGTAGAAAGAGTGCGCCACACACCACGTTGCCTTCCACAACAGTGATAAAGGCCCCAGAACACAACTGTAACTTGCAAAGCCTTGTTTTCTACGCTCAAATACACATATCTGTCGATTCTGTTTGGGATCAATCCCAGATCGATCCTAATGGTACTCCGATTTTAGGTGGAACTGAAGCAGTTTATAAATAATGAAAAAATGTATAATATTTACTTATATACCTATAAAAAGAGACAGTTTTAAATAATTTAAGAACAACATATGAACCCTAGTTCATCGATTTCTTTGTTCTTGGAGTGTCCAACCATATTTTTTTAAGCTATTGGTTCACTGTTTACCAACTTTCTGACGTTTGCGAATAAACCTAACTTATGCTATTCTATACATTGTACGTATTCATCATTGCATACATTGTATTCATTGTACGAGCCCCTTCCCACTTCAGTTGGCCCACTTTTTGTACTAAAATATGCCTTTATAAACTAAACATGACGAAACTATTTACTTCTAAAACAATTTATTTTCTCAAAAACATTTTAGATACACTCTAGTCGTAACAAATACATATTTGAAATCACTTAGACTTATAACTAATAGAACATCTGAACAAATAAACAATGTGCGAATAAATGCGCGAAGATAACAAAGCAACAATTGAAAGATTACCATTGGGTAACATCACCTTTATTTTTTATTACGGCTGAAATTCTTTGGGGCATAGTGTTAACCAAGTTATGGCAAAAATTTGGTGTAAAACAATCCCATATTTCTTGAAGCTTTTGTCTCAGTTCGGTGATTGTACGAGCAGGATGTTGTCGTAGAACCTTTTTCATCTCGTGCCACAAAGTTTCAATAGGTGACAGATCTGGACTGCTAGAAACTCATTCCAAAAGTGGTACATTATTTTCTTCCATCCATTTTATAGCCTTGTTTGAGGTATGGCACGCTGCACCATCTTGCTGAAACACAAAATCTTGGCCGGATGTCAAACGTTCTTCCATCACTGGTAAAAACGATTCTTCTAAAATTGCCAAATATTTGCTGGTACCCACATTTCCAACAATAAAATGAAGTTTTCCTACTCCTTTTGATCACATACTGCCCCAGACCATAATGGATGCTGGAAATTTCACTTTTCTCTTCAGACAGTCAACATGGAATGTTTGTTTTGCGAATAACTCAACTGCGACTGTCACCAACACAAACTTCTAATCGGGCCTCATCACTCCACTGTATTGCACACCATTGTTGAGGTGTCCATTGTCTATGTTCTTTAGGCCCGTATCGTCAGTCGTCCCTACAATTGTAGGGCGCGTTTATGGCCCGCATTTGTGATATTACTTTTTTTCACATATCGTGGCTTAATATTAACTGTACCAGTTACGTTATATCTTCTAACAATATTTCTCACACTGTACCGCGATAGGTCTAACAAGGTTGCAATTTCTGAGCTTGATTTTCCAGAATTCAACCCTATTTGTGCTTATTTCAAAATGCGAGTCATTTTACAGACCTACTTAATATGCATTTTTTGAAATTGACCTTCTTGACAATTTTGTATTAACATAAATGAATTTGAATTTATTACAGAAAGAACATACAGAAAAGCTCCACAAAAACCGCCTTCGTCTGTCAATGTTACTGGTGTTAATCCTTCCACTGTAAGGGTGACTTGGCGATACGTACAACCATCATTAGAAGAAGAACCACTTCAGGGCTACAAGGTAGGTATACAATATAAACATTAAACACTATTTTTAAGGTTGAATTAAATTATTCAAATAGAGTATATTAATGCAGTCACAAAATAAAATACTTTATTTACTAGTAGTAGATAATGTTAGTAATAATAGCATTAGACATACACGCAGTTCAATATTTCTGGCACCGCCAGCTATATCCCCAATTTTAGCATTATCGTAATATTACTTTAATTGTATTGCGCCTTCTGGAACCTGCCGCTATATTAAGTTCTCCGATACACTCCGTTTGTAGGAGCCTGCAACTGAATTTGTGATTCTGGCATCGTTTCTATATACAGTGAAAGCTCCCATAAGCGGACACTCACAGTTCCGTAACTTTTGTCCGCTTATGGGAGGTGTCCGTTTAAAAGAGAGTATGTAAGTATAGAGTATAAATAACGGGGTATATAATCATGAGGAAATGAGGTATTATAATCATGAGAAAAATGAAACAGAAACTCGCCACATTTTTAAAGTATGTATTTATGCTATATATCTATATAATATATGTACATATACGCATACAAAAACATAAATGCTTCAATACATGGTACGAGAATTTAAAAAAAACATTATTCTTTAGCTTGTTGAAAAAAGTTTAAAATGTTTGTCTGACGAAATTTCACCATCTTTTGCTGAAGGAGACAATTTTCGTAATAACTTTCTAAATTTTTCAAATGTTGAAATGCAGTGAAATCATCTTTAGCAAATTTTTTCAATATAGAAATATGATTTAGAGCTTCCCCATATGAATTTATCGTTTTTGAACCGCTTAGTGAGTCCACCAGTTCCACTTCTTCTTCTGAGTCGTTTGGACTACCATATTCAAGTTGGCCTGGGCTTTCTACATCCAAATTCGAAAAGTTGCCAATGGCATTTTCTTCTGTTGTTATGTTATTGTCTATGGCCAGGAAATCATCTACTTTCTGGGGATCTGCTACTCCTAAATGTTTGGCATGTCGCAGTAACTGAGCAAGTGTCGCTAAGGGCAGATCGTCTTCAGCATCGCAATAATTTTGCTCAGCAAATTCTGAGCTACATTCACTTTTTCTGAATCCAGCTTTGCCAAAACAGTTTTTAATTGTAGAGGAATTTACTTTATTCCATGCTGTTTTTATAAAATACAAAGCTTCTAACACATTGATAGACTTTGTAAGCTCAGATAAGCTTTGACCATCGTCAATTTTTGTTAAAATATGTTTTAAAATCAAGTGCCGATAATAAAATTTAAAGTTCTGTATGACACCTTGATCCATGGGCTGACAAACAGAAGTTGTGTTTGGCGGTAAAAATATAATTTTCACATTTTTCATTTTCATATCACGAGGATGAGAGCATGCATTGTCTAAAAATAAAAGAACTTGCCTTTTTTGGATTCTCATTTTCCGGTCGAATTCGACTAACCACTCAGACATGATTTCTCGGGTCATCCATGCCTTTTTGTTGGATTTCCAAGTCGCTGGTAGATCCTTAATAGCAACGTTTTTTAAAGCACGGGGACGAGCCGCTTTCCCGATCACAATCAAATCGCATTTTTCACCGGCCATATTATATATATATATATATATATATATATATATATATTGCCAACTTTCCACCCACACATGTTTCTCCTTTAAAGGACAGAGTTTTGTCGGGCAATGCGCGAAAAAAAAGTCCACTCTCATCTGCGTTGTACACATCTTCTGGTTTGTAGCCAAGCAACATGGACGGAAGTTTCTCCAAAAATTGTGACACATCAACTTGATCTACTGCAGCAGCTTCGCCAGATATGCATTTGAAACTCACACTATGTCTCTTGCGCCACTTTTGCAGCCACCCGTCGGATGCACTGAAATTATTATAGCCCAAAGTAGTGGCGACTTCTTTAGCTTTCATTTTCACTAACGGCCCTGAGATTGGAATGTTCTGACTTCTAGCTTTCACAAACCACTAAAAACATGTTTTGTCTATAGCAAAACCTTCCTTTTTTAAAAAATCCTTCTTTTGATTTATATTAGTTCCTGATTGCCATTTACTCCTGATATCTTCCTTATTTTTGGCAATTTCAGCTGCTTGCGTTTTCCCAATATTAAACCTCTTTGCCAAATGACGAACTGAAACACTTTCTCTGTCTAATACGTTAACAACTTCCATCTTTTCCTTTAACGAGAGCATCCTTTTTTTTGGTGCCATTTTACAGTTACAATAATAAAATACGTAACTCAATCAACTACGAATTTGCCTGAACTGAAGACAAGCCACAAGATTACATACAGGCTACCCAACGAAATGCGTAAATGGGGAATCACCTAATATAAATCGGGGAATTACCGAATTTTATGTATGTAGATATGTGCATTGCAATAAGCGGAACTAAAAAATCGTCCGGGTATTAGAGTTTCGCGTCCGCTTATGGGAGATTTTTTGATCACATACAGGAAAATCTAGTGTCCGCGTCCGTTTATAAGAGCGTCCGTTTATCGGAATGCATTTAACATTGAAAATTGATGGCTGAATTTCGGTTCCAGGAACTTTGTCCGGTTAAAAGAGATGTCCGCTTATAGGAGCTGTCCGCAAGGAGAGCTTTCACTATATATATATATATATATATACAGGGTGGCCCATCCATGTGTGGACGGAGGATTACTCACAAACAAATACATTTTGAGAAAATCTATTTATGGGATGTTATACATGACATTTGAGGGGACATTTTTAAAATATTGGGCATTCTACAGGGTGTCCCAATTTCGACCTACATATCGAAGTTATGATTTTTCAAATAAAATGCCACAAATTTTATTGCATATTTGGATAAATGAATTCAAAAGAAGAAAATTGATATACTATGAGGTTTTGGTAATTAGCTACTGAGATATAAGGTGTTTTGTCTCGAAAAACCCCCCACTTCGGCAACCCATTTTGAAATTTGGAGTGCTTATCTTATTTGTTACTTTTTCGAATTTCAATTTTTGCTCATACAGGGTGGTCAAAAACGCAAATTGTAAATTTTACTCAAAAATTTCAAATGCATCACTCTGTATATTTGTGAAAGTTTGGATTCAATTTTCTATAAGCTTTTTTTGATACTAGACACATACGGGTTTTTACGGCTATTTTTTCGGTTATTAGCACGTATTTTATGGAACGGCTTAACTCCCTAAAATATCGCATCATCCTTGGAAACAAATAAATTCTTGGTTTTATTTATTTATTTTATTCATTTTATTCATTTATTCGTTTTATTCATTTTATTCATTTATTCATTTTATTCATTTATTCATTTATTCATTTTATTCATTTTATTCATTTTATTCATTTTATTCATTTTATTCCTTTTATTCGTTTTATTCGTTTTATTCGTTTTATTCGTTTTATTCGTTTTATTCGTTTTATTCGTTTTATTCGTTGTATTCGTTGTATTCGTTTTATTCATTTCATTCATTTCATTCATTTCATTCATTTCATTCATTTCATTCATTTCATTCATTTCATTCATTTCATTCATTTCATTCATTCTTCATTTCATTCATTTCATTCATTTCATTCATTTCATTCATTTCATTCATTTCATTCATTATTCATTCATTTCATTCATTTCATTCATTCATTCATTTCAGTCATTTCATTCCATTCATTTCATTCATTTCATTCATTTCATTCATTTCATTCATTTCATTCATTTCATTCATTTCATTCATTTCATTCATTTCATTCATTTTATTCATTTTATTCATTTATTCATTTATTCATTTATTCATTTATTCATTTTATTCATTTTATTCATTTTATTCATTTTATTCATTTTATTCATTTTATTCATTTTATTCATTTTATTCATTGTATTCATTTTATTCATTTTATTTATTTTATTTATTTTATTCGTTCTATTCGTTCTATTCGTTCTATTCGTTCTATTCGTTTTATTCGTTTTATTCGTTCTATTCGTTTCTATTCGTTTTATTCGTTTTATTCGTTTTATTCGTTTTATTCGTTTTATTCGTTTTATTCGTTTTATTCGTTTTATTCGTTTTATTCGTTTTATTCGTTTTATTCGTTTTATTCGTTTTATTCGTTTTATTCGTTTTATTCGTTTTATTCGTTTTATTCGTTTTATTCGTTTTATTCGTTTTATTCGTTTTATTCGTTTTATTCGTTTTATTCGTTTTATTCGTTTATTCGTTTTATTCGTTTTATTCGTTTTATTCGTTTTATTCGTTTTATTCGTTTTATTCGTTTTATTCGTTTTATTCGTTTTATTCGTTTTATTCGTTTTATTCGTTTTGTTCGTTTTATTCGTTTTGTTCGTTTTATTCGTTTTATTCGTTTTATTCGTTTTATTCGTTTTGAGCGTTTTGAGCGTTTTAAACGTTTTATTCGTTTTATTCGTTTTATTCGTTTTATCCGTTTTATCCGTTTTATTCGTTTTATTCGTTTTATTCGTTTTATTCTTTTTATTCGTTTTATTCGTTTTATTCATTTTCTTCATTTTATTTATTTTATTTAGTTTCCTAGCATCTCGCATTATAAGCAACGGTACCCTAATATGCGACATCCAAGGCCGGAAATATTTTCCACACTACGAGAAAGTTTTGAATCAACTAGAGCAGTGGAATATAATAAAAAATGTATAAATAAAAAAAAATCCCTATTTAAGTGCAAGGCAAGGCAAATTGGAGCAGAAACTGATATATGCAGAACTTCTGTCCAAAGAATTATTCACAAGCATAGGTGCCATCCTTATCACCTATGCTTGCATCAAGGCCTTCGTTCTCAGAATTTCGCAGCTCGAATGGAGTTTAGTAGAATAATGCTAAATAACGTGAGTGGACACTACTTTCCTGGATACGCTTCTTTTTAGCGATGAGGCAACTTTTAACAGCATAGGTGTTGTCAACGGGCATAACATGCACTATTATGCGACGGAAAACCCTTACTGTGTTAGGCAAATAGATTTCTAAAATAAATGGAGCTTGAATGTTTGGGAAGGAGTTATTGGCAGACAAGTTATCGGGCCTTTCTTTTTCGACAACAGATTAACAGGTACAGAATACTTGAATTTTTTGGTCGAGCATTTACCTTTGCTTTTGGAGGATGAAAACCTGCAATTTCGGATGCTTATGTATGGGGCTACGTTAAGCAAGAGGTTTATAGATATCCAACATCTACCCCGGAAATTATGAAGGAAAGGATTAAGGATGCTTTTCTGAACATAAGGGAACACACGCTGAGGGATGTGCAGCGGTCATTTATCCAAATACTACGGCTGTGTATTCAACATGGTAGAGACATTTTCGAGCAGTTTTTGTAGATTAGGTCTTGAGTAGCGATAGTTGTTCGTTTATGTTGTTGTTATAGTTGCTTTTCTCTATTACGCTTGAAGCTGATTCATACTGTTCTGATTGTTATTAGTTTTTACGTGAATTATGTACTCTTAGGGGCAATATGGAACTAGCCCACTGTTTTTTTCCCTTAATTTTGGTGCGTTGTTCTATTAAAAGCTTAATAACTCAGAATCTATTGATTTTATCTGAGTCAAACGTTATACAAAAAAAGGCTTATAAGAAATTGAATCCAAACTTGCACTACCCTGTATGAGCAAAATGAAAATTCGAAAAAGTAACAAATAAGATAAAAGCTGAGGTGTGTAAGTTTTTTGCCATTGCCAATGACCAGTTTGGCAAGAAATACAATTAATTATTAATTGGGAAATTGGCAAAATTTTTAGGCTTCGGTAAACTCTTTTAACGGTAATCTCGAGCTTTCGGCACGCTATGGAGCCATCATCAGGAGCTGAAACACAAATATGAAGCTAGCAACCAATACGGAAAAGATTTAAATTTTCAGACAACTCACTCGTCGCTGAGGTTGCAGCCAAATGGTGTTTCAAAACGACAGCGTGGATGGGAGCACTTGTTGTAATTATAAAAGCCAAACGGATGGACACATTGGGTTTTTTGTTAACGACGGAAACCATAGTTAAGTGTTAACACTATATGGTATCATGGTAGTGTATGGTAGCGTTTTCAGTTCTCTCAAAAAAGTCTAGTTTTAGTGGACAAAATTTACCTGTGACACCGTGTATGCTAATCATAAAGATTGTCATACATGATACAAAAAAGTTAAAGCAGTTAGTCATCGTTTATGAATAAAATTTGATAATTGAAGAACTAGTGCGAAGTATTACTGATCACATAAGGCTCAGATTCCTCTAAAACGCAAATCGCTTGTTGTGTATTATTTTTTGTTTTGTCGGAATGACCAGTGGTGGCGACTTGAGTAACAGTGATCTGCTATCAGAATTGGTAGCAATAATAAAAAAGGAAAGTGATGCCATTAAGAATGAGATTAGACCAGATATCCAAGAAATTAGAAGAGAAAACGCGAATTTGCTGGAACATAAAACAGCAAGACACAAAAATAGATTTACAGACAGTGTGTAAGGATTTGGAGAAAGAAAATTTACAGCTGGAAAGGGCGATACGAAAAAACAACATACTTGTGTTTGGCTTAGAAGTTGTTACAAGGACGATTAGCTTCCAAAGTATAGCAATTCAGAAATTAAACGCACTATTAAAAATAAATATATCCACTGGAGCCCTTAAAAATATTTATTGTATTAAATCAGGTAGGAGCTGTTCTATAAAAATTCAGTTCGTGTTATACCTCAAAAAGCAGGAGTTTTTCCAGAACGTACACGAGCTTAAAAACAGTTCTGTATTCGTTGTACACTATCTATGCCCAAAAGATCGAGAAACAAATAGAATCCTTCAAGAACATCGGAAAGCAGCGAAGGAGAAACGATATTCGGCAAAAATAATCGGCAACAAACTGATCATCAATGGCGACGCATGCACTGTTGATCAGTTAGAAGGAGATACGTTCATTACGTAGTCAGACAATATCACGAGCGCTCCAACTACACCCATTATAGATCCGATTGGCGACGTATTTGACCACCACAGTGACAATGAGTTATTCAAGATATTACCAGAGAACTCTGTCACACGCCCCAGCATCTCACCCGACAGCAAACCACCGGCTAAGAAGGCGAAACAGGAACCTGCTAAACCGAATTCTAAAGCCAAGCCCCCGAGAATAGCTAGACTGCAGAGTCAATCCAAGTCTAGTTGAGTGAAATACGGCGACTTTCATTTGAAAGTGTGATAATTTAAGTATTGTGACGCTACTGATCTATCTAGATTTCTTGATCATGTTCAATCATCACTAGTTGTTTTATCCGTATATCTTAGAAATGTGTAGTATCCTTCTTTGATTTCATTGGTATCTAACATGTCTTACTGACTTTCTTTTGTATGCGATGCTGTTCTCACATTTGAATGTTCGATCCATATTTTCTGGGCTAGAAACATTAAAAAAGTACATTTTAACTTCTGGCGTTGATGTTTTAGGTCTTTCAGAAACGTGGCTGTCTAGGAATATCAGCTCTGATGCTATAGGAGTGAATAATTATCATGTAGAGATGGTAGACAGAGACAGCAAGGGAGGAGATTTATTGTTCTATGTGAAAATAACATTAAATATTTTACGTTACATAAAAGTAGTAATGAGGACTTAGAGCAGTTATGGGTACACACTAAACTATATGGCAAGGTACACATTTTTGGTGTCCCAAATGATTCCTAGATGTGAAATTTGTATTACTGGAGACTTCAATCTCGATTTTCTCCCCCTTGGCACAGCTGTTCAGAAATTGAATAAATTGTTTGATTTATATAACTTGACACAAATAGTTGATGCCCCTACTAGCATAACTCCTACCTCACAGACATTGTTAGACCTTATTATAGTTAGTTTCCATGAAGCTCAGCCTGCATGACATATTTGATCATTTTTTAGTTTCGTGCCACATCTTTGAGAAAAACTTGATTTCAGAACCGCCAAGAGTCGTTAAGACCCGCTCGTGGAAGCATTTCAATGATGAATTTTTTAGTAATATGCTGCATTTTATTAATTGGGATACAATTTATACCTTCAACAACGTCATTTTAATGGTCGAATTCCTAACTAACTAGAAAATTAATACGTCTTTTCGATATGTGTTGCCCTGTATATGAATTTAGAGTCACCAGAAACTTGTCTCCTTGGATCACGGATAATATAAAGCTTCTAATGAAATTGCGCGACAAAGCTTTTTGTAAGTTCAAAAAAAGTCGTTAACCTTCTCCCTGGTACTATTATAAGGAACTCAGAAATTATACCAAAGGGGCCATACAGCATGAGCAGAGAGATATTGAATTTTCTATGAAACAAAGAAATATAAAAATGTCTTGGCTACGTCAAATAGGAGTTTTCAAAAACAGTACAAATTCCATTCGTCAACACGTTTCTAATCCAGATACAATAAACGCTTACTTTTCAAATCTACCCAAAGTTCATAGAACTCAGTCTCAACTCGATTTGTTAAATACATACCAAGAACCTCGCAGTAACAACTTGTTTTCTTCCACTTCAGTAGACGCTGCATTAATTTCAAAAAACATAAGAAGCATCAAATCTGATGCAGCAGGACATGATGGTATTTCCAAGAAAATGCTATATGTTTTTGAGGATCATCTACTGTATCAGATTACCTATATTATTAACTTTTGTTTATTAAACTCTGTTTTTCCAGAAGTCTGGAAGATTTCAAAAATCATCCCAATTCCCAATAGAAGATATTAAAGATCTGAGACCAATCAGTATTTTACCAATACTCTCCAAATTATTGGAAATGGTCATAAGGCAGCAAATCTTGGAATTTGTTATGACCAACAAAATTATACCACCAATCCAATCTGGATTTCGAGCCCAACATGATACGACAACTGCACTGACATGTATAGTTGATGATTTCTACAAATCACTTGACAAAGGTAATGTTATGTGTTTAATTCTCTTGGACTTCAGTAAAGCCTTTCATACCCTAGATCATAATATATTGTGCATGAAGCTGAAGTACTTTGGATTTGCAGATAATGCGGTAAATTTAATAAGGGACTACTTAACTAGTAGGTACCAATACGTATCGGTAAACTCTTCATCTTCTGACAAAAGAATGCTTAGAATGGGTGTACCACAAGGGTCCATATTAGAGGCCCTTTAATATTTTCTTCATATATTTCAGACTTTCATAACTACGTAAAAACTTGTAAAATACATCACTATGCGGATGATACACAATTGTACTTCAGTTTTCCGATTGATCACATTTTGAACTCCTACTCTTTGATTAACGACGATATTAATATGTCATACAATATATCAATTGCACATAATCTAAGCCTTAATGCCAACAAATCAAATCAAAGATTTTTTAGAAAAAAATGGTACGCCAATGGTATTTTGCCAAATAAAAATTATTTTTGAATTTCCCGTTCAATTTAAAACGGATGATCTCCTTTGAGTTGTTTTCCTTCGATGCTCCATTTTTGAGTAAAAAAATTAAAACCGTTCTATTGTCTAACTTGCAAAATTATTATTAATTTAATTGGAAAAATTAAACACATTAGGGGTAATGAACAACAAAAACTGGCAACATAAACATAACATTAAAACCAAAGAAATGATTACAAAAATTGTTGAAAATGGCCCCCTTTACTTAGTATGCATGCTTCCACCCTCCTTCTTATGGAATTGAAATATCCCTGGAGTGTTTTTTATTCTATCACAAGCTGCAACTATTATTTCTCTTAATTCATCTACAGTGTTACTGGGACTTGTGTACACTAGTGTCTTAAGATAGCCCCATAAAAAGAAATCTAAACTTTTGGGGTCTGGGGACCTTGGTGGCCATTCTTGGAGCCCACCGCGGCCAATCCAACGATTTGGATAAACAGTTTGTAAATAATTACGAACCGCTACACTGAAATGCGCTGGCATTTCGAGAAAAAATAGCTTCGTCCGTGAACAGAATCATTGATTCAAATTGCGGATTTTGTGTAATTTTCTGAAGATACCACTAACAAAAGGTCACATGCCTTGGAAAATCAATGGGAGGTAATGCCTGTACTAAGAATATAACAAAAAATCCACTAAAATTCTCCAAACAATTTGATGGCAAATATTTAAGTGTCTAGCGTTCTTCCTCGTACTCGTATCAGGATGTTCTTCGACTTCGTGCAGCACTGCTTCCTCAATTTCAGGTGTTCTCACACTTAGAGGTCTACCTTCAGATGTTCCTTTTCGGACAGAACCAGTTTCAACAAGACGACGATGAATATTAGAAAAGGTTCGACTATCTGGCAAAGCACGATCGGGATATCTCTGGTGATAAATGCGTCTGGGTTGCTCACCATTACCGTCGACAAGGCCATGTACGTAATGCATTTCCGCCATTTCTGCTTTTGAATAATTCACCATTATTAACAAGACGTTAAGAACTAAATAATGAATAATGTGTCACAGTGAACAGATTTGAATAAAAGAGACTTGTCAGATGTCAAAAGCCAGTGACATATTCCAGGGCAACTAGATATTTATTGGTAAATTGCATTCTTCAATTATTACATTAATTTTCTCGGACAATAGGACGGTTTTTATTTTTTTACTCAAAAATGGCGCATTGAAGGAAAACAATTCAAGAGAGATCATCTGTTTTAAGTTGAACGGGGAATTCAAAAATAATTTTTATTTGGCAAAATACCATTGGCATAGAATTTTTGTCTTAAAAAATATCGAAGTCAATACCCGTACGCACGCCACTGTTAAAGCTAAAAATTATTTTTGCATTGGAAAATATGCAACTTCATTAACTTTCACTACGTACTAAATATCAGTGAAATATCTGAAACGGTTGTGAAAATATTGATATTTCCATTTTTTTCCTAAAACTTCAACACCCCGAGTTTTTGTAAGGAAACATTTGTATATACAGGGTTATCCAAATTAAGTGTCCACCATTAGTAACTTTGTTATTAGTGAAAATACAAAGTTGTTTGAATTAGCAAACTAGTAGCATTTTTAACGCTGGTAAAAATGAGAAAAAAAACAATTGAGAGTCGTTATTTTGATTTTTTTCAGTAAAATAACATTTTTTAAATGGAAACCCCTGTATATTATATTTTTTTCTGTTAAAGCATCAAATTTTAAACAAAAAAGCTTACAATAACTTTTCTCCTAGGTTACAAATTGTTGAAGTTATGGCCTCCAATCTGAAACAATTAAATTGTATCGACAAACTTTATTTTCAACATCAACTTATAATCTTACAAAATACAATAACAATTTTTTTTAAAGAAGATGCTCGAAAACACCACCTTGTTCTTCAATACATTTTTGGGCACGTTTTTCAACTGCTCGAACTGTCCTAAGTATGGTCCTACCATCTATCTGGGTTATCTTTTCCCTAACTGCAGTCTTTAACGCGTCAAGGTTATCGTACCTTCGCTTGTAAATTTGGTTCTTTAAGTAACCCCACAAGAAGTAATCAAGTGGGTTTAGATCTGGTGATCTGGGAGGCCACTGTATTGGGCCATTTGTTCCTATCCACTGATCATTAAAAGTAGTACTTAGAAAATGATAAGTACCTCTGGAGTTGTGGGCAGGTGCGCCATCTTGCTGAAAATGCAGATGATGTCTACTTATAAGATCCAATTCGTCTAAGAAATTAGTCAGAATTTCTGACATAAATTCCACATATCTTTCACCAGTTAGGGTTTCTCATAAAAGAACGGGCCAACAATTTTTGAACCAATTATACCGCACCAAACGTTGAAACTGAAACGGACTTGTGGGCCTCTTGGATGTACTAACAAAAGATTTTCTCTTGACCAATAATGGTGGTTTTTTCTATTAAACATTCCAGAATTTGAAAAATTTGATTCATCTGTCCATAAAAGGTAACGAAAGTTATTTACATTTTGGCGACAGAAGCTAAGATACCAATGGCAAAAAACAAGTCTTCTCTCTGGATCCCCTGCCAAAAGCGTTTGAACTGGTCGGTACTTATACGGAATAAATTTGTATTTTTTTAAAATCCTTTGAACAGTACCATAACTGAAATTAGAGTCCTTGAGAATATCTGCTATTGAATTCTCACGATAAGCTTCAAAATATCCAATAACTGCAATTTCCGTGGCCTCGCTTATTATGAATTCTTTTTTTGCCCTTGTTTTAGCAAAAACATTTTCGTTGCCCCTAAATTTTCGATAAAGTCTCAGAAAATATCGTTCATACGGTTGAATGCGAGCGGGATATAATTCACTGCTCTCAAGGAGGATTTTCTGCACACTAAATAGCATTCTAACATATCACACTTTTCTTAATGGGAGAACATTTTTCTTTAAATTAATGACACAATAAAGCTTATAAACAAGTATTTACACTAATGTTTGACATTATTTGATTTTATCATTGTTTTCCAAAGCCTTCTAGTTGCGAGTATGTCCAGTTTAACAATTTGTCGCTTATCTTAATGCTGTCAAATCGCGAACGCCATGTTGTTTTCATAGCCGTCTTAATATTATAATACTGCAAATAATTAAAAATATTTATCGTTATTTTGACTTTATTTTTGACTTTATTTTTGACTTTAGCGGAAAAGTCATTATGAACTTTTTTTGTTTAAAATTTGATGCTTTAGCAGAAAAAAATATAATATACAGGGGTTTCCA